GTAAATAAAGTTAGAAGAAAGTTTTTACAACATATTTTTTGAAAGCAGAAGTAAATTACTAAAGTTGTTTAATATAAAAGTAACCACTAATTTACTATTGAAACATGTGAACAAGTAGAAACTTATTCGATAAATATTCGAAAGGAAATGTTACTTGAGAGTAATTTTTAAGTTTAGCTATATCATGCTATAGCTTTGAACACGAATAAATAATATCTTAACCTTATCAACTAGATGCGTTACTATAATAAATGAATTTCAATGTAAAACTATAGATTCCGCTCCATGCAACAAGAACCCCAAGAAAAAAACATCCCGACACAAGAAGGATCCATGCACATCATTACAAGCCATAGTTATGGTAATACAAATGACATCTACGGTGTTAAGCATTAACAAACAAAGTCCATTGTAACAACTAAACACTTCTACCAAATTTACAATTGAAGATCAATTGAAGCATTGGTAACCTTGGCCCCCTTCTTAGCAGCATCTTTGGTGACCTTGTCACAAGATGGAACATTCTTGTCCACGTTCTTGATGACACCGACATCAATTGTCTAGCTATTTCCTACTATTTCCTCAGTGGTATCACCAACATTCAGTACAATCCTCTTATCTCAATTTGTCGAACTAAAAAATTCATAAATCAAGATCCTGATACACACACACACACACACAAATGGTTCAATGAGAGCAAACATTTTTAGGAACATTACATTTCTGAGCAGAAGAGAAATTTGAGAGTGGTGTTCGATGAATTACTATTAATCAATATTTGATTTTTCGGTCTGAGATGTCAATAAAAAAGATCGTCTAAGCCATTTCGAATTTTTTGTTCAAGTCACTTATTATTATTTTTGCTCAAGTTGCTTTTCTTTTTGTTCAACTTACGCCCTTTTTTCACACCCGTGAGTTTCAAGAATATCCACATTCATAGGTTCAAGATCTACATGTATGAATTGAAAGATCCAAATAACCAATTTTGCAATAAGATGTTATAATAAATAGGTCTTAAAATCTTTCATTTGAACAATTGAAACTAGGGGTGTAAGCGGTCCGATTTTACCGGTTTTTGATAAATTTTCAAACCAAACCGTTTAAACCGGTTTGAGAAAAACTCAAACCTAAACCAAACCATTTTGAACGGTTTGAAAAAAAAAAAAATCAAACCTAAACCTAACGGTTTGGTCCGGTTTTAAATCACCGATTTCGCCGTATATTTTTTTGTCTGTCTACTTTTATGACATTAATTTATTGAATTCAATATATATTTATATCTTAATAGAAATAAATCTAAAACAAACTAAATATATCTACTACAAATTTAAATACCAACTAAATCAAAGTAAAATCACAATAAACTAAAATATAGTTTTTTGTTTGTCATTTTAAGCTAAGACGTTAAGATAACGTTACAATACAAGTCTACTAAACTAAATATAGAGCTCAAAAAACATAATGATATTCAACAAGACCTCGTGATCATCATATTTGAAAAACAAAACTACTTATTAGACAGAGAGAATAACCAACCATAATAATAAATCAATTGTTTATAATATCTAAACATAACAATTACACAAGCTTACCGTTGTATATTGTTACGAATTCAGTTTTTCACGTCTACTCAAACATCAATTATTGTCACACATGATCCATAGTCTCCATTGTCAAACAAATGCATTCGTTACANACCATCCTTGCACCTAATAAACTCCTAAAAGAATCAAGTATCCGACCTCCAGTTGAGAATGCAGACTCAGAAGCAACGGTAAAAATTTGAATTCTAAAGAGGAAAAGAGTTTTTGATAGATTAGGTTAGTCTTGAGATTATTAGATATAAATTAGGATTATTTGATAATAATAATATATATGTAACAGAAAATTATAAATTGACAAAAATACACACAAATGACAAAACTATTGAATTTTACATATTTGGATGAATTTTAAAAAAAATCATTTTTTTATTTTTATATATTTTTTCCCCGATCTGGTTTGGTTTTAAACCGCAATTAAAATTCTCAAACCTGAACCAAACCGGTTTTCGGTTCAAAATCATTTCGTTGACGGGTCCACGTAGCACCAAACCGACTGTTTTTAAAATGTGGTTTCGATTCGATTTTTCGGTTTGACGATTTTTGCTTATAGCCCTAATTGAAACCCTTCTTATTAGGTGCTCATAATAATTCTGGAAAATTGAAATGGTTGATCAATGGATGAACAATATCGCACTTTTTGTTCATTAAGAGCATCTCCAATTCATTCTTTATTTATAAAGAGCATCTTATGTATTATAGAAAGCATCCATAAATTTAGAAAGTCAAAAATTTTATAACCACTCTCCATTTTGACTTTTTATTTTAGTTTTTTCAAGAAATTTTTCCTTATTTTTTCTCATATTTTATTTGACATAATTTTTTTATGTGTTAATGACAAATTAAATTAATTCCTTGTTTGGTACTTATTATTTTCAAAATACATTTTTATCTCTATTATTTCAACCATTGTTCTAAATAGCGTGTCTTGGCGCGATGCATGGCGGTAACGCCAAGCCAAGTGACTTGGCGTCTTATTTGGCGGTCAACTCGTTGACCACGCGAGCCTAGGAGCCGTTATGCGCGCATTGGCGCACTTTTTAAAAAAATTTTAATTAATTTTTTTTTTTTTAACAATTCTTTGAAGTTAAAAATTATTAAAGGCTAATTTCTTCATTTCCCCCTAATTTAAAACAATCACTGAAACCCAAAGTATTTTGAATACTTTAAGAAGTAAAGTATTAAAATGGGGCTCAAACATGCCATAAATGTATTTTGAATAGTTTAAGAAGTAAATTATTAAAATTTATGACTTGTAAAATAAAATCATTGTGCATTTAAGAATAAAGAATGAGTTTAACTTTCTAAATGTGAAGAGTCAAATCCACTATCTATTTTAAAAAGTTAAAATAAAGAGTCTCTTAAAACTTACTTTTAAGCATTTGCTCTTTAAAATAAATAATATTTTATATTTAGAGAGTTTTTGAAGATATTATAAGATTCTGAATTAGATGATTGGCTGATTCCATACTAGAAATAATCATAAGAAGTCCTTTGATAATACGAATTCCCATTTCTCAGTCATCTTCCACAATCAAGAGAATTAGCTGAAATCCGTATAACAATTTTCATAGAAGTTCATTGATTTATTTTTTTATTAAGCAAATCGATTTCAATTCTTGAACAATCCTCATTACTTCTACTTTTATTGTATCTATAATTATGATTTTACCTATGGATTCCTTCGCAATAAAATATTTTCTTTGTACATTGCTAAAAAAATTGCTTTTGGAGGAGAGATCCTATTTTACAAATACAATCACGGGTATCTAACATATTTTGTACCTAACGATTTTCCACAAGGGTGATGAAATGTACAACTTGTACAAAATCTTTCTTTTCTTCAACTTCATATGTCCTTCGTTCGTAGAATTATATACTTGATTGCATAGATTTTTGGAACACATATAAATCAGGGACAATAGTAAATTTTGAAAGAACTTATTGTCAACATCTTTCAATTATGAATCTATTTGATTTATAAGGAAAGAACGTGCATCGATATCTTAATTTCAATTCAAATGTGATTTTGATCCACACTTCATGTTTTGAGAAGTATTAACATTCCAAAAAAGGAAATAATCGAGTTTTTGTCCAAAGAGATGCCTTGAGAAAGTGGAGATTTATAGAAGAGATGGTGCCTTATCAACTCTATCAATATGGAATATATTCCACAACACACATGACATGGTTCCTTACTTTGACATGGTGCAAATATCTAAATTTGATAGTTTAAATACTTTTTTAGATTTATTGTAGACACTAAGTAGCAATAAAAAATTTATATCAATTTTTCATAATTATCCTTGATTCGAGTATATCATGGCGAATTATTCTTCTTCAAAAAAAAAAAAAAAAATTCTTCTGCAGTGAAATATGATAAGTCAGATTTCGAATTTTTAGACAGCTTTCTTATGTTCGAATAAATGATTAATCGAAATAATGAGACATTATTAATTGACACACGTGAGATCGTCAAAGGTTTGGGTGTTCCTTCTTTCAATAATTTTCCTTCTTGTTGCTAGATATATCACTCATACACATTCTAAGTCTCTAGTGAGTCACGAATAAATTTGAAAAAATGTCAAATAGTTGATTATTTCATCATTTATGATTGAGTTACGTTCACTTATAACTTTTTAACTTAGGGTATTTTTTTTTTTACCTTATTATTTTTCTTATTGGGAAATATATACTACTATTTTGAGTAAAATTTTGATATAATTATTCACTCTATATTTTCACAGTTATGTTGTTATCAAACTCAACTTTTATTATTAATACAAAGTGCTTTTACAATATCAACATCGATTAAATATAGACAATGGATAAAATCAAAAAATATGATCAGGATCTCGATTTTAATCTCAAGAAAAATCACATTCTTTACAGTTTTCTAAATACCATAACAGCATTTTTTTTATATGCCTAAGTTTGGCATATATTAAAATCAGATTTTACGTAAAGTTTGATAAAAAAAAATGATGAAAAGTATGGTTGAAAAATTATGAATTTCATAAAATTTGTAGTGAAAATTAGATATTGATTTTAATTTTTAACTTTTAATTTTTGTCGACTTTTAATCTACATCACAATGGACTTAATATTTAAAACATAAATAACGCTATCAACAATATCACATCTTAATTCAATTCTTATTAATGAAAAAGAAAAAAAATTATATTTTATCAACTTTTAATCTATATCACAATTTACTTAATATTTAAATTTAAAACATAAAAAAATAACACTATCAACAATTTCACATCTTATTAATTAAAAAGAAAAAAATTATTTGACCCGATCCGAGTCGAACAACCTAGTCCTATTCAGTCACGAGTTCTTCTTCAGACAGATCCCCATTTTCACCGGACAGAAAATAACCTCAGAAAACAAAACATGGATGATTCTCATAGTGACAGTAGCACCACCGTCGACACGGCGAAAGCCGAGAGATCGGTGTGGTTGATGAAGTGTCCGCCGGTAGTCTCCAAGGCATGGCAGTCTGCCGCCGCCTCCGCCGACTCGCCGCCGGTGGCCAAAGTCGTTGTCTCACTCGATCTCCTTAGCTCCGAAGAACCCTCAGACCTTCAAGTACAATTAATCGTGCCTTTGTTTTAATATGTGTATAAGCATTTGCTTGTGTGTTTAAATGGGTTTGATGATTTTACTTTTTTGAACTTTGCATTGTTGATTTTCGGAGTGATTATTTTTGGTGATTATTTTATTTGATATCAGTTTGCCATGGAGATGGCTAGCAGTGAGGTTGTGAATGTTCCTAAAAGTTACTCTCTCAATATGTCCAAGGATATCGTTCCCATGTGTATTTTCTCTGAAGCTGATCAAGGTGAAAATTTTGACCAACCCTTTTTTTTTTTAGAAATTTTTTGATGAATACCTTTCCTTTTACAAATATTTCCGTAAATTGTAAAGATTATATTTTTGTGTACTGGATTTTTTGACATCCTATAAATGTTCTTTTTTATGTTGGATAGGTTACTTGTCTTTAGTTCGTTTACAAATGTGTACAAGTTAATCTTACAACTGATAAACTTCTATTTTGCTCTAGATTTTGATTGTACTTGTATTTCCTATAATTATATATTTCGACTTAGTGAATAAGCAATGCTGTACATCTATTGATGTAGTACATGACCTTCCTTAACGTTAAACTTTTGGACATTCTGATACATTACCTGTAATTACGAGAAGGAAAGCTGTATCGAAATTGAAGCCTAAAAGTTTACCTTGTGAGTAAAGCCTTCAGGCTCAAGTCATATTCCCAAGGCTCCCCCTTGAAAAAAAGGCCAGCCAAAGAAAGGTTCAGCACAACTCTTAGCTTGGTTGGTTGACAAAACTTTCAAACTATGCTTCCACTCATTGAATCTGGGATCGGCAGGGAGAAGAAAGCTTCTTTTGAAATTTGTTTTTGTTCTCAGCATCATTATTTCATTGCTCTTTTAGATGGAGGGTTTTTTGTTTCATCTTTCTTAATGTGGTAAAGTAATTGAATATTACTATTATGTGCAAGACAACTAACACAATTCTGGAAATAAGATAAAGGCAGAGAATGAGTTTTGTTTTTTTAGTTGAAAATTTAACAAGTTAGGTGGACATGTAAGCATTCATTAGTACCTTTGTTGTTTTTTTTTTTTTTGGGCATATGATTTTTTATAGAATCCCTTTTTGCCTCAAAAGGATTTTCTCTCATAAATATGCATGTATCTCAAAAGTTGCATCCTTTAGTATAAGACCATGGGTAACCTGATCCAAATCATAAATATATGGTATAATTTACAGTATCATGCTATAATACATTAATGAAACAATGGGCTGTAGAGGACTTCCAGTTTACAGCATCCAGTATTTATGACTCATATTTGGAATGGTGTTTAGAACCAAGATTCTCAAGATGAAATCTTGGGCTCTTTTATTGGGTCATGCAGTTCATTCATTGCTTTCTTTCAAATCATGCTGTCCTGATGTATTAGCTGCTCTACTTTGTGATCATGTAACTTTTTTTCTACACTTTAAGCCATTCTCTTGAAAGTTAGTTGTTTCCAAATCAACTTGGGAGGAAACACCAGTCATCTGTTTGTCCTTTTGCAATAACTTTATTATGTTTTCTTTTCGTTAGGAGGGGTTGCAGTGGAAGGGAAAGTTGAACATAAATTTGACATGAAGCCCCATCATGCAAATATTGACGAGTATAGGAAATTGTGTCGTGAAAGGACAAGCAAAGCCATGATCAAGAATAGACAAATACAGGTTATACACATCACAGTTTATTTCTTTGCATGTTATATTGCTGGAATTTCAGTTTTCGTATGATATCTTTTTATGAAAATACCTTTTCGGTTTGTTCGTTTATTTATAGGTGATCGATAATGATCGTGGAGTACACATGAGGCCTATGCCTGGAATGCTGGGCATGACTACGTCCACTTCCAAGGTATTTGTAGTCTTTGTACCTTATGACCTTATTTAGCTCCACGAACACATCCTGAACGTACCACAACACACACAAAAAGGGGAAAAAAGAAGAGAAAAACCAACGAGGTGACAGGAGTAAATGGCTCTCAGAAGATACTGTAACCAAATTTGTGATATCAGTTGGGCTTTTTTTCAATTTTCCTCAAATGTCTATAATTCCGATGCAATAATACCTGCCTAGCTGGGCTAGCAGATTTTAAATCTGTCCTCCTGACACAGTAAACTCTCTGAGATTGGACAGGACCATATTGACTACTCAATTTCTATTTAAATCCCTATTAAATAAGAACATAGATTGATTTTCGTCCACAATTCTGGTTGTCATCAGTGCTTATAAATCTACTCCATACTCAAGATTCATGCAATCTAAACTTTCAGTTTTTATAATGTCATTTAAAAGAATAAGATATCTAATGATTTCAAACTTTTGGATTATGATGTTATTTTAATTAGTTACATCCAATACGTGCAAATTGTTGAGAAATAACTTGAGTGATTGTAACTTTTATATGATGGATATTATTTCGATTTATTCTGCTCAACACATGGATAATATAAAAACTAATGTTTGGTTCTAGGTATCAAATAGATATTGATTACTTTCTGGGCTTCAAAATGAATAGAATGGTTGGGCTTGAAGAGGTCTTTTAGGTTCAGATTTGACTTCCCATTTTCCCTTTGAATCTTGATATACCATGAAGCCGGTCCTTCTTTCCTTTAATCTCCTACATGTCTATCACCTCCCACCAACAATAATCACTGCAAAATGTTTCAGAACAGCTTGTGATATCCCGGCCTTTAACTATCATTAATTACCTTAACCCTCCCAAACCAACACCACTGTACCACAACGTAACTCCCAAAATTACGTGTCGCTATACTACTAACATGTTACGTTGAAACCCGTAAGCGTATGAGATTGTTAGAAATATTGAGTTTCGAGTTTATCATTTCCAAAATGAATAATGTTTAAAATGTAGTTCAATAGTTAGTATTAAATTAGAATGAGTAGTGACAGCAAAAGAGTGATTTTGTGGTTGCTACTACTTCTAATCTATACTAAAAAGCAAGTAAATTGTGGTTTTATCGAATGTGAATACTTGTATTGGATTCATGATTTCCTCTATTTCTATATATTTCAATTATCAATTAATAATCTTGTTAATTTCATGCATTTTTGACAATCGATAGCGCTAATATGTTAAATGCTATTTTCCAAGATACACCAACCTATGTTTAACACGACCTGATCATATTTCTAGTCTGAATTCATATGAAAATCATGCATTTTGTTTAGGTTATATACATGATTGAATTTGCCATAGATATTATTCTTAATACCTATTACCCATATGTTGATTTTACTGCGTTATAAGGTTATTGTGAGTATTCCTACGTTACAAGTAACTAACTATTCAATTGATGACCAAACAATTAAATAGTGCAAAATCAATCAATAAATGACAACAAATACTTAAATTAATTGTCTTTAATTGAAATAAACAAAAAGAGGGTTCCTCAATCATCCAATACAATTGAAAAACTTAGCTAATCATCCTAAATATTGAGTTAGACAAGAAAATATGGAATAACATCACCCGGATCAAGAAATGATGGACGGAAGTGGAGAAATCCACTTTCTTGAATGAAATCTTGAAAAGGGAGGAGAAATCTTCAATAATCTTGTGAAAATCCGCCTTTGATTGATGAATTGGCCTCTTTCTTCGCCTTCAAAATATGTAGAACATATGAATTTTAGGTCTAGAGAGGTCTATCTACGTTTTGGACGGATTATGGTATTTAAAGGATGCCTAAAAGATCGTTAACAAAGTAGAGTTTCAATTGAAAATGAAATAAAATCTCACCTTGAAAAAATACTACATGACCGCATAGAAGAAATCATAGCTGGACCCAGGAGCCTTGGAGGCATAGATAAGACCACATAGGTATAATTTTTTCCCGTCGAACAACCTTTAGTATTCTTGTCATATCTCTCCCGATATCCGATTGAAGTGATTTAGAGTGTGTGGGAAAGTTAACTCAAAATGCTACAATTCTTCCAGAAATATTATTTTTTCTATTGAATTTTTACTATGCCAAAAATGGGTCTCAAACTGAGACTGAAAATTCGAAACATAACTTTTTCATCTGAAAGTTGATATGTGATAATGTTTTGACTATATTTCATCTTTTTGACTTCTTTCTTCATCCAATTGACCCCTAATACTTTTGAATTTTCATCGTGAGGTTCAACACAACTTTTGAGTATTTGCATTTTAGTCCCCGAACTTTGAATTTGATTCATTTCAACCATTTTCTCTTGTAATCTTGTTTCTTTATCTTCCAATTGTATCCAATTAAATCCTTGGCATCTTCGATCTTTATTTTGTTGCCAGTCTCATCTATGGATTGTTTGCAACTTAGTCCCCGACTTTTGGATTTCGCCATTTTTCACTATTTTTGCATTTTTCTCCAATTCTTCATGAAACATTAAGTTTTACCTACAAAATGAAATATAACACAAGTTAGCTAGTATTTTATCCAAAGAATCGTAAAATATTATCATTTAAGATCTCGAATAAGTGTAGACTTATCACATGTCCCAAAACAGAACTAGGGAAAAAAATTCTCTTTTACAACCAACGAAACAAAGTAACCGAAAGCTCCAAAACCCAGATCTCCGCTAGGACCAACAAAAAGTTTTAACACAATCAACAACGCAACATGCACCACAACCACCCTAGATAGTAATCCTCTCAATACAGTTGTGAAGTCGAATGATGGCTTGTTTCACATGGCCATCGCTACCGAATATCTCCAATTTATCGTGTATATTAAGACTATAACTCTTCATATTTGGGCTTGAGGTCAGATTCAATGTAGTGGTTGTGGACATCGTGGTGAGCCGGTGTTGTTTAGGATATACGTGGCGTGCGTTGAGGTGGAGAAAATGTGACAAAGATTGGTTGAAAGATTAGTGTGGTGATGATGATTTTGGTGGTCGGTTTGGCAGTTAGGCGGTGATGGCAGTTTGTTGTTTGATCCATGGGTTCCAAGGGCTTGGTGTACGACATTTGGATGGTGATGGTGGTTTTGGATGTTGATAAGTGGCTGTTTGGCGCACATAAAGGTTCAAAAGAGAATATGAGAAGATAGTAATATTGATGATTTTCTACCTAAGAAAGCATTTGTATAGTCAGGGGGAAAATGTGGAAGAATTAAGAGACGGTTATAAAGTAGGTTTACTTGGGGTAAGTGTGCATTATTTGGAAACATCCCAATCAGGAAAGGAAACCATTTATTTTAAAATTGAGGGAGTATTAGGTATTTGAAATATTACTTGTGAAATTTTGTTTTCGAGAACTTTGTTTTAGATATCTTATCCTCTGCTTGAATAAGAGGCATAATTGAGAATAGTCAAAGTTTATGTACACCTGTGTTACTGTGTATCAGTCCTTTTTTGAGTTTAATACGTTTGGCCATCACATTTTATTACCTGGCTAATATTTTTCTAGTCACTTAATATGTGAGTGGCAGTGGGTTTCAGACTATTGATTTTATGAACTTAGTTTATGATTGTCACCATATTTGCTGAATAGTGAATAGAGCAGATCCAATTAGTTAGCATGGACTTTTTTGAATTAGCATGGACTTGACCTAAATATTTTTTGAATTTAAGAAAAAAATGCAGATGCGCACGATCTGGGTGCGGGCACAACGCCACATTTGACTGTTTGATTTTAATATGGTTTTGATGCCATCTAATGTTAGATAGATATATCTATTGTGTGAACAACTTTGTTCTCTTCGCATATATTATCACCAATTGGAAGGTCCATATATCTTTTGCAAAATTATTCTGTATTATGTGGTCAAATAACAGGAATCATATTCTTAAAATTAATCACATTTGTGCAGGATAAGAAGAAAATAGCTCCGGTTAAGGGACCCGATGTGAAAAGAACTAGAAGGGACCGTGGGGAGTTGGAAGATATCATGTTTAAGCTTTTCGAAAGGCAACCTAATTGGACCTTGAAGCAGCTAGTCCAAGAGACTGATCAACCTGCGGTATGATTTTTTATACTCGTGCTCCGTTGTGGTATATATAATAAGATGGATTAGATAGATGTGGACATTATAAATAAGAAAAAGAAGTTAAAACTGTCTATTATACTGTCCAGTAAGATTGTATCAAACATGCACTTATTTTGCATTACTCGCTGCTTTCTAGTGAATCAAAGAACTAGTGTCAGTTCCAATGTCTTTGTCAAATATAAGGCTGCTCTACATAATTTTTAATACATTTCCTTAAAAGAAAATGAAGCAGTCTTTTCTTATCTTTCGTAATATGTGCTCCTAATTTTCCATGATACAAGGTCACATGATGTGATATGTCTCTGTCTCCACTTGTTTCATTTTTTCCTAGAATTTACTGCTCATGTATTAATGTATCTTATTTCTTTTTGCAGCAATTTTTGAAAGAGATATTGAATGAGCTATGCGTTTATAATAAAAGGGGAACTAATCAAGGAACGTACGAGCTCAAGCCAGAATATAAGAAAACCGTTGAGGATACAGGTGCTGAATAATGTCTATCTTCGACTGTATATCAGATTGTGGTTTAAGAGGATTACAGTTAATTAAGAAAATGAGTCTGCAATAGCACCCAACCCATCCTTTTACGATTTTAAAATGTGCAGATGTTTACCATCCTTGTTAAAGTCAATAAAAGAGTAGATAATGTTGAAGAAGCATATAGTTATATGCACTTGTTTAATATATCCACTTTTGGTTTTTTTTTTCCCCACACTTATTTTGAGATGGCTTTGCATGAACTCGAGTACTCAACTCATTTGGCGAATTTTTCAAGGATAATTTGTAGATTCGTACCTGTATTATTAGGCGACACTAATATTCCTAATATAAAGATATGGAAGTTGAGAAAAAAAAACTTGTTCTTTTCTTCTCTGTTACAGCCAAAATAAACTAGTGACTGCAAGTATGATTGCTTTTCTTGTTTTCGATTTTCTTTCTGTTTAGTTTTGCTTTCATAAGAAGGGATTAAGATTTACTCCCTACGAATCCACGCGAATATGAGGATAATGAACACGACCAACTAGGAATCTTCTTTATTTCTGTTGGAAGATTTTACAGCATCTTTGGGCAAGATAATAGCACCACCATCTCAAATGTGCTTGAGTGGAACTTTATTTGGTATTGGTGTTTAGGGGTACCCAGTTATGGGACCCTTGTTTCCATATCCTGTGCGTTCTAAAGGGACTGTTAATGGAGACTTTCTGTCACTCCCATGAATATGTAGTCAAGAGTGGATAACTGATGAAAGAAAAAGGAGTGTGTGTGTGTGTGTGTGTGAGAGAGAGAGAGAGAGAGAGAGAGAGAGAGGTGGTCCTGCACCATGGATGGATTTTGCAAGATTCCTGGTTCGAGCTTTTAGATGATAGTTTTGATGAACTGCCAACTATTGGATGTTATAAAAACTTCCTCGGTGGGCTAGTTCAACCAAAAAAATCCAAGATTCTAGACTCAAGTTCTAGTGTTGATATGGATCCATAAACTTGCATGGCCATCTTAAAGTGTAAATGTACGAAACGAACTCGACTGGTATTACAGCCTCATAATATTGTCGTTATCAATCAATGACATTGAGTTGGTTCTTTGGATGTTGGCTTGACTTGGCTGAGTTACAATCGAGTTGGTTGATTAGGTCTTTTCAATTAGGATATAATTGACATTCTCACTCGAGTAATCTGTGATTTTTCAACGTTGAGATCTCAATATTTTAGAAATAGTTAAGATTTTAATGAACATCATCTATGATCTATAACACAGAGGGACATACGTGCCCTTTTAGATTATGACATGTCATTCTAATGGTCACTATCGACTACTGCATGTAGACCCTTGTGCTCTTTTGGACGAAAATTAACGAGTTTGACTTTTTAGCATTTTAAAATTTTACTTTCTTCTTAGCACTATTTATATGTGCATTTTGTCCCGATTTCGAGTCTCATTTTTTCGGCACTGAAAATACTGGAATTTTGAAGAGATCGTACAAACTCGACCTTCAATTCGATGTTTTACTCCTCTAGTTAAATTTCTATATAAGATATTCTTCGTCATTTTATGGCCTGCGTGCTCGAATAAAATAAGGGAAAATTACTCTAATTATTATCCTGTTTAGTTTTGAAATTCTAATTTTACTCTTCCTTCTATTTTATTCTCATAATATTGATTTGCTTATCAATTACTTATTTTCAAACCAATGTCCATATCAGAATCTCATTCCAACGTAAACATAATACAAAAAGATCAATCCAATATAATATCCTCCACAGTTATCCACTGTTGGCACTGACCACCACCTCTACACTCACCATCAGTAACAACCATAGTCGCCTCCGCCAACCATCACTGTCGTCACCACAATAACAGCCTTATCACGATCTCAATTCAAGCTCCACGGCCGACGAGGGCAGTCAAAATCTCGTCTTATTCATGGTTCGATATGCTATGCTTTTTCGATGGTGGTGGCAACAGTGGCTAAGGTGGTAATGGTTATTCGGCGTTGGTGATGTAATAATAGATGTTACAATTGGTGGCGCTGGTGGTGTGACAAAAATTTTACAAGTGAAGGATGGCAAAATGTGTAACACGTTGTGCAATAAATGATTGGATATCAACGATGCAAAAAAGGTTGTCATGTATAAGCAACATAATTTTTTAAAACATAAAATACTGAATTACAAATTTATCGTATAATAATAATAATAATAATAATAATAATAATAATAATAATAATAATAAACATTATTTTGAGAAAAAAAAATATTGAAAAGCAAATGTGAAATTAATAAACTTTTTTAATGTATTTGTGAATCGTTCTCAATAATATAAATCCATGCTTTTAACCGGAACAACTCAACTTTATTTTTTCTCTACCCATTGATTCTTTTCTTTTTCCTAAATCTCTGCCAAAATTTCCTAATCATAATTTGGCTTAAAATGCCATTCGACACGGCGCCACCAGTAGTCGTATGTACATAAATCGTAATATATATATATAGACACACACATCATCATCATCATCATCACACTAGAACTCGCAATTTTTTAAATACATTGCAAAATCATATTAGCTTTGACCGTAAGATTCTCTCGTGCCTACCAAATCCAATTTTTGCTGTCAACAATGTTACTCGTGTGTCCCAAAAGAAAATGAAGATGTTCATACAGCAATCAAGTTTCCAGCCTGGACGGTCCGCTGGCGCCGATCGGTTCATGTTGCCTAGGTTTCGCGGGGTGTCTTAAACTGCGGTCCTTGACACTAGGTCACGTCGGAATTCACGTTAACTTTTTCGAACATTAACTATTTCAATTTTTATGCATGTGTTGACGTAATTATGAGTAATTAATTGCATACGAGGTTAAGAATTTCAAATTCACGCTCCTATGAAGGGTAAGAGACTCAATAGAAGTTGAGACCTTTCTCTTTGATATTTTATAATGCTTTCTTGCTATTAAAGTAACAAGTTGAAATCAATAGTGCAATTTTATGTTGAAATGAGATGGAAGAATGCTATAGCTCCGTTTTGGTTTATGAGAATGAACAATAGTCATTTATTGAATGGGGCTTTAGTAAACATGAAGTACACTAGGAGAATTCGCAGCAACACTTTATTAAAAATAAAAAAATAAAAAATAAAAAATCTTACATAATACATAGTATGGGTTTCAGAATATTCCTCAAAATACCTTTAATCAAAATTTTGAAATATATAAAATGATGTAAAGTGTGTCTTACATAGTACGGGTCTCGACTCTCAACTGAGGGGGGACACAATGTCTCCTAACGTAAAGGAGTCGTTATTACAAGACTTCCCACACCAGACAGCAGGCTTTGAGAGTGGGTTATTGGTGGATAATCTTAATCAATCACGTACCTAAATTGTGGACTAATTGAGGTTCTTTCTCATAAAAGGGAGATTTTCAGTAGCTTTTGATAAAAGTTGTAAAGAATTGTCGGTCCAATAAAATATGTGGTTAAAATTAATTGTTGACTTTGATTAAAATTTAGATTTTAATCCCTACTAAATAGAGGTGTAAGAATTTTAATCTAAAAATGTCCATAAAATGGGGACAAGAAGACGGGATCTTCTGTATGTGGTTAAAAAGTTGTGGTACCCATAAAATATGTGGTTGAAATTAATTATTAACTTTGACTTAAATTAGAATTTAAATTTTAATCCGTACCAATTAGTGGCAAAAGTTCATATGCTTGGTGCGACCTGCCCACCACCAGCAAAGCTAGGTCCAATTCACCTAAAAAAAGAGGTCGTCCTTAGTCCAATTGGTGGGGTGCCAATGGTGTACCCGTTGCCTCCCCTTCGTGTGCTCTTTCTATTAATGGCGGGTTACCACCACCGTGGTATTCTCAATTATCATAATTAATGGCATGCTTCCAATACATAACATATTATACACATAATACACAGAGTATATGAGCCTCCCCACAACCCCCCATCTCTCATTGTGTGTCTATGTGTTATCTCTTTTTCTTTGTGTAGTACAATGAGGTTGTCTTGTCAGCTATAGGAATAGAGAAGAATGTGGGAGACAACCAAAAACATTTGATGAAGAACATCTTTTAAGGTCCTGTTAAGGGTCTTCCGTCACCCTCACGACTTGAAGAAAAAGAAGTTAAAATCTTGTTTATTGTGCTATTCAGTTCAACTCTACGTAGCACACCTACATTTCCCCCACAATACACTACCCCACATTTCTAACTATATTTATATCACCCTAGACTCTACCCTAAAATCATCACAATTTTTTAATTCTCACTCTCTCTCTCAATTTAATTTTACATTTCCTTTGTTTTCTGCTCCTCCAATGGCAGATACACCTTCAGGTTCACTCACTGATAAGATCAGAATGTGTTCAATACCAGAAAAGTTTCAACTTCACTTGGCCATGTTGGCCTTGCAATTTGGTTATGCTGGTTTCCATGTGGTGTCAAGAGCTGCCCTTAACATGGGCATTAGCAAGATTGTGTTTCCAGTTTATAGGAACATTCTTGCCTTGCTTCTCCTCTTGCCCTTTGCTTATTTTCTAGAAAAGTACGTCTTTATAATCGTTTTATCAATAGCATATATATATATATGTGTGTGTGTGTGTGTGTGTAATTTCTCTTTAATACACGCCCTGACCATGCATGTCTTTCATTGTTTGATTACTCAGGAAAGAGAGGCCACCTCTTACTTGGTCATTCGCCCTTCAATTCTTCCTCCTCGCAATTGTTGGGTATGCTCGTGAAAAATACTAAGACCATGTTTGATACACAATATTGAATGCTATAATAAATAAGATTTCAACTTTTTTTCTTCTTTAATATTTGTTCTGTCCGATTCACCTAGTAAGACGTCATAACTTTTTAAATTATTGTAATGAAGAGATTTATTACCATGTAAAATGACAGGATTACTGCAAATCAAGGATTCTACTTGTTGGGATTGGACAACACAACACCAACTTTTGCTTCTGCAATACAAAATTCTGTGCCAGCCATTACATTTGTCATGGCTGTAATGCTCAGGCAAGCTATTTGAGAATATAATATACTTGATTATATGCATTAATTGTTGCATTCTGTGAGGAGTAAGTATTTGTAGATGGTAGAGATCATCACAAGCCTTCAATATTTTAATTAAGGTCGATTTCCATCAATAGGGTTGGGTTTGGGTAACTAATATCATTTTTTAGGGTAAATGATTTGTAATTTTGGCCAAAATTCGATCAGTTAGAGGTTAAATGAGCACTTTTCGTTTACTCGAGAATACAATCTCATTATACTTTTACTAGCTAAAGCTTTTTCTTTTTCTCGTCGCGTTAGGTCCAAAGACAATTTTGGTTTCTTTCATCATTCGGTGTCATTGAATACTTTGAGAGATTCTCGATTTTGTTGAAACAAGTCTTCATTAATTCGTAGGTTATTTCTTGTTTTACACTTTTTCTACACCATCATCGAATTTATTTATTTATTTTTTATCAAAAGGTCTAAAGTGTGTACAATTTTTATAAGCAGATGGCGACAAAACTTGAATCTGAAATAAAATTGATCCAATTCTAATGTTTTGTCTTGGTCATATTCAGGATTGAAAAGGTAAGACTGGATCGAAAAGATGGTATCTCAAAAGTTGTTGGGACACTCTTTTGTGTCGCGGGAGCTTCTGTAATTACACTGTACAAAGGTACAACTTAAGTCAATGGAGACATTGACGTTCAGATGCATTAATTTAAATCTTGTCTTCAATAAATCCCTTTTCATGGGTAGACCGTATATTTTTTTGGATAAAAAATCTGACACGAGAGCAATTTTCATACAGAGGGACGAGAATCGTCTTATGCCTCATCAGATACCATGTTAATAATTATCTCATCTAAAAACTTAATCCAATAAAGAGGTGCCTCATGTATTCATTTAACAGGTCCAACCATTTACAGTCCTTCTCCTTCAACAGTGCAAAGTATTGCACCAATGTTGCGTAACTTAGGAAATGCTGATGGCAAGAGCTGGACACTCGGGTGCATTTTCTTAATTGGACATTGCCTGTCGTGGTCCGCATGGCTCGTGCTGCAGGCTCCAATACTCAAAAAATACCCTGCAAGGCTCTCATTTACTTCTTATCAATGTTTCTTTGGAGTTATACAGTTTCTTGTTATTGCTGTTTTTATGGAGAGAGACCTTCAGGCTTGGCTTGTTCACTCTGGAGGAGAGCTCTTCAGTGTTTTCTATGCAGTAAGTTAACATACATATATTTATTATTTTGCATCATGGTTGCCGAATTTTCTAGTAGTGATCGGATATAACGGTACTGAAGAAAAAAACTCTTTCAAAAAGGCATGAATGCAAATAAAAAAATCCGGTGGATAAGCTTCATGACCGGGTGATCTTTGTAATAGAGACGTTAAAAAAATGGTCAATTGTGTCGAGTCTAGTATAACAAGATGACAGATGATAAAGAAAGAGATGTGAAAAACTTATATTTTGTCGTGTTCAATCGAGTCGAGCTGGGCTGAGCAAACTTCGCACTAAATCAGTGCAAAAACACAGTGGGGCTAAAATTCAGTCAAGTTAATGTGATATCAGATGATTGGTCTATGTTTCCTTTCATATCCCGTTCTTGAAATCTTATAATGATATGCAAAATAAATGTGTGTAGTGGTTAGTAGTCAGTATATGCAAAATATATATAAATATGACAGCGAAACGTATGGTCGAAAATCGTAAGTTGGTAAAACGAGAAACTTTGTTTAAATTTAGAATTCGACATAATAAGTAGAGACAAGAATTGAACTCACGACCTTTATTGTCGACAGCTATGCTGCAAGTTTAAAAGAACTTCTAAAAAAATATATAAATAAAATTTAATTGTTAACATGAGCTTGCAGGGAATAGTGGCATCAGGGATTGCATTTGCTGTACAAATATGGTGCATTGACAGGGGCGGCCCGGTTTTCGTTGCGGTGTATCAGCCGGTTCAGACACTTGTAGTCGCCATTATGGCCTCTGCTGCACTGGGAGAGGAATTCTACTTGGGAGGGTATGATACACTCCCCATCTTTTTATCTATCTTATTTTATTATTAAGATAAGTAACTTTCTTACTTTATAAGAACAAAAATTCAAGCATAATCTCTGTTTTGATGTTAAAATAAGTAACTTTTTGTGTATAGGAGCAAGTCTATCTAAACCTGAAGAGAAAAAGGAAAATAGTATTTAAAAGTAACTTTTCAACATATATACAATTTTTAGTAAGAACGTGTTTAAGTCACATTCTCATTTTCATT